CTCCGGCTACGTCACTGGCGTCCGTCTGAAATGAAAATTCTAGGGTAAAATCCGGACTTGCCACAATGGGCGAACTGATGAGCTGTTCCTTTATTACACAAAAGGATTCTTCCGCCTCATCATTTAAAGGCAGGATTTTGCTCTTGGATTTTAGCAGATCCGATAATGAAGCCGTTAGTCCACTGAAATCATTAATGAAACGGCGGTAATAGTTTGCCATTCGCAGGACCCTACGCAATTTCGTCAGAGTATTCGGTCTCTCGTACTCCACGACAGCACGGACCTTTTCTGGATTGGCTCGTAATCCGTCAGTAGAGAGAAGGTATCCTAGGAATTGCAGTTCATTAACTCCGAATTTTGACTTCTCGAGATTTATGGCTAAGTTGACTTTGGCACGTTCTGCGACTTTTTCCCGGACCTTTGGGGACATTGTATACGGATATTGACGTATGGGAGGGCGAGATTTCCAATCCTCATGTATTTCGATTGAATGCTTGGTCAAGTGAGTGATTGATACGCGATTTAGTAAGGCTACCTTAAACAGTATTTTCACCTCGTCTAATCTTCGACTTTCTTCGGGGGTCAGCACCAAGCTGGGTTTATCTCCTACAGAAACTTCTCCTTGAGTGAGCGCGCATTCTTCGATCTTAGCATAGATATTGAAACGAGCCCAAAAGGTCATACCCAAAAGACAATCCACTAGTAGACCTTCTACCACTAAGGTTGGGACGATTTTAACTTTCCCATCAAAGATGAAAGGAACATAAATTTCCCCAACAGTATTGAGTAGCCCTCCATCGGCTGATCTTAACTCCAATTTTTCACTGGGATTTTTCAACTTTAGTCCCCTCAGTTGAAGGAAATATTATGACTAATAATGGTACGGTTGCTTCCTGAATCCAGCAGACCTTTGATTCGAATGCTATTAATATTCACCCACGCGTAAGGGCCGTTATCGCTAAAGTCAGGGAGGGTTATCTGTAGGAGTTGGGAAGGGACTTTGGTCTGATAATCTTCGATCCCCGGTTCCCAAAATTCCGAACTATGTAGTATAAGAGGAATGTTTACGCAGACTTCTCGGAGGATCGGCGATTTTCGATCGTCTGTAATCCGTTTTTTCGACAATACGGACAATCGAATCCCTTGAATCCACACACGAACGGCATCGGTCGATTTGATGATCGGGCTGTCGACAGTTCAAACATACATCAGCCGATGGTGGTTTGAATCCCGCAACTGTACAAGTGTACGTTGTGGCTTAGATGGACCTTCTTGGGGGTCTGCGGGTTTTGTATTTTTGGGATCCGGTTGAGGTTTCCGGTACTCGTTATATTTGTTAAAGTTCAGCTTTTCCGGCTGGGAAGGATTTGGCTTCTGTTTCTGGGATTTCCAAGACTTAGCTTGACCCGTGCTCCGCAGCTGTTGGCGATTATTCAGGGAGCTTTGATTGGGAGGGTTCTTTTGAGTGACAACGTTGACGGTTTTCTCGGTACCAAACACCTTTTGGTACATATAAAAGTTAGAAGCATCGATCAGGTGACTTGCCTCGATCAATTGAGGGTGATCCTGAACTGGCTTCCATAACAAAGCCTTTTTATAATCCGTCCTCAGTTTACGACGAAGGATATCGAGCTTCTCTCGATCATCCATTTGAAAAATCATGGAGCGAAACATTTTGTCCATGTCAAAATAATACTCTTGAAACGTTCCGTTTCGCTGTTGGCGTCTCTGGTAAATACGAGAGCGCACCAACGTATCGAGTTCAGGATGTACAAAAGTTTTCCGGAGGTCGTAAACCAAGTGGCGCCAGTTCAACAACCGACCACTAGAGCGCATTGACATATACCAATTCGCCGCTGGTCCTGTAAAGAGATGAAAGGCCGAGTCGAAAAGCTCCTCTTCTGATACCTTTTCAGAAAGTGACAGCTGATTCTCTAAGCCTAAAAATTCGTTTAACTTCATTCCGTGATCTGTGCCCGAGTACTTTTCAATACTCCACTGAGACACGGGAATGGTTCTGCGCAAAGATGGAGCTGCTTGAAAAACCAGAAAATTGTACCCAGAAAACGGAACTGAGTAGCCCGTAGAGCTCGGCGGAACAGAGCTACCCACCGTTGGCAACCAAGGACCTGGGTTAGGATTCGAAATTGGAGGAACAACCGGGATATCTGATGTTGAAACTGGTGGGAGAATCTACGGATTGGATATCGCAGCGAAATCTGGGATATCCGATCTTGTCGAAGGTGGTAGAATCCACGGATTCCCCATATTCCCCTGCTGGCTTGACCCACCACCTGAAGCTGACGGGTATAGTGGATGAGGGAAAGACGAAACACAAGTGGGAGCTGTGGAACGCATATTTCCAGTTGTAAATGCCGGTGGGAACCATAAGTTCTCTGGATGAGGACCGCTCATTCGGGAGACATTCGAGTAAATAGCCGAATTGTTCTCGGTCACTCCGAGGTTCGGAAAAATATCCCAATTGATAATTGGGGTATTTTATTTTACGAAGCATCGCCAATTGAAAGTAACGAGCCAAACGGGCTACGTTCAAAAACCCCTCACCCTGGTCAAGCCACGGAGGTCGTCTGGGGTGGGCTTCATCCGCCTCTTTTATGGGTTAGCTCACCTTTTAATTCTCAGGGTCGGCCACCGACCTCGGGAGGACTCAGAACCAACCGATCACTTACCTTACAGATCAACAACTAACCACCGAACGGACTACAAACCCTCATCTGCCGAACCGGCTGGCTCTTTCGAAAAGAGGAATATTAATCAATAGAGAGAGAGAATTTAATTTCAAATGTTTATTTGAGCCGTTCTGCATAACCGTTGCAGCGCTGGGTCTCGTTGGTGGTGGGAGTCGGAAGGATGGATGGGTGATGAAACGTACCTTTCGCAGGGTTAGCCGAATAGGCGACGGCGGCGGTACTTTCAGCAGCGGCGGCCGCAGGGTTGCTACCGCGGAGATGTGTGCCGTCTGTATTTTTGCCACGTGGGTTCCATGTACAGTGGAGTCGGTCGAATCCGCTCTGAGACCGTTAACGGTAGGTCCTCAGCGGAGGTGGTCGGGTTACGGTTAATCTGCCTACACGCTAGGAAACGGCGTGGCGTGCAGCAGAACGGGCGCGTGAGTATCGGTGGATCTTCTGCTATGACACCGTATAGCGTGATGACCTCACAATTGCGGACACTTAATAACGAACTGTTCGCACTTTATTCGCGTTACTTTTTAAGTGACCGATCCAATAACTCACGATTTGGCTCCTCGGAGTGTCACTTGCACCAAATCGACCGAACTTCAATCACTTTTTGTAGAGGATTTTTTATATTGACTTAATTGTTTCCTGGTCCCGATAAGAGTGTTCGAGGCCTTGCCGATCCACTTCTATCCAAGCCATCCATCTCCTATTCCTTTTCTCTTCCATCCCATCCTCTTCTTTTCATTCCCGGATCCAGTGCTGATGTGATGACTCCAATTTCCCATCTCTGATCACGCCTTCCTTCGGATGGGAAGTAAAGCCGTTGGTCCCCGGTTCATGAGTTGATGGGTCGATAGGTAGGGTCCAGGTGTGGGAGCTGCCTTCCTGGCACGTCGGTAGCATTGGTGCACAGCACGGAAAACAAGATCGACGGAAAAAAACAAACCAAAGAAAAAAAAAATCTGGCTGTGGCTCCATAGTAGAATTAATTTTGAATTCATTTTAACAATACTAGGTATCTTATTTATGTTTTTAAATTTATGTTTTTATATTTATGTTTTACTCGCAGTTTTCAATTACTAACAAGAACCAGCCCAAAAGGAAAAGTTTTAATTAATATCAAAATTCAAGAATACTTAATAAACAAAACGTAAATATAAATTCGGACAGATGACGGTTTATTGTTCCGGATTCTGTGAATCGGTAATACTAGGAGTAACTCAACTACAAGTAATTTTGTTAATTCATCTTTGATCTGATCCAGAAAATCACTACTGGACAGACCTTTCCAGACAACCTTGAACAGACGTTCAGTGTTGGTGTCGTAGGTGACAAACTTGTGTTGCTTCTCGGTAAGATACTTAAGAAACGTTTGAATCCGTCCAAGGTTTCAGCCAATACACGGCATTCACCCCGACGTCCAATTTGTAGTGAAAACTTAACTTTCACGAAGCTCAAAAGTTCCATGCGAAGAGCATGGAAATCGGAAGTGGTTATCACAATAGGGGGAACTTTTTCCTCTTAGCATTAAGCCGGGAATGTTTAATGTTATTTTGCCGTGAGCATATCAAAATGGTTGCTCAAATAAATTTCACCAGAAGGGGGATCAAGAGATTGCTCTTTTCTTTTTCGTTTAGGTGCCATAGCGCCAGAAGGAAGTTTCTCCAAATCGACTTCCATGCAGATTATTATAAGAATCCGAAGGATCGAAGAGGAATTTTCCAAATCGATCGAAGTGAATAAGAGTCGAACAAGGTAGAACATTTGCAGGTAATATTGAGCACTGAGAAGTGCCGTTTAAATTTGTTGTAACTTTAGGTAGCAGTAACACTTTCTGCAGAAAAAAAATCAAATAGATCTGCACGGCAAGAGAGCACGATGCAGACTGATGACAGCTACGATAGTTTTTTGTATCAATATCACCTAGAATGTATCCTCTGAAGTCACTTTAGATTACTTTTGCCTCCCACTAAAAACCATCCGTAGATTCTTCTACAAAGATTCCGAGAACTGTCAGCATAAGTCCAAAGGACTTCAAGGTTAAATAACCGAAATTTATCAACTTTCTTCACAATATTATTGACTATGCATGTACCATTGACCATTTTCCCCATTTCCAACCTGACGAAGGTCATAAATCATCATCCTATCTAACAAGAATATTTTTCTCCTTTCTGCATTTTTCCTCCTTCTCGGAAAACTCCCGCAATGGCTTCCGTTTGCCGGGTGGGCTTCCGTTACCCCCGGAAACTCCGTGTGCGCAACAACTACGACAACAACGACTACGGTGGAAACTAGGACGTGGTGTTCGCCCTGGCCCATGCCACCGGGAAAACCGGCAGATTCACCCTCATCGAGCGGTGGCGCAACAACGAACGGCTGCTGGCCCCGCACGAGAATCCGCTGAAAATTCTCATGAAATGGGGCGAATACTCCAGTGATGTGCAGTTCATACTGCAACGGTCCGAGCAGAAAAAGGATCAAAGTCAACAGAATGCTAATATTAATAACAATAGCAATAGCACCCCCGTTCAACAGCAGCAGCAGCAGCAGCCACAGCAGAATACTCTTACCAACAGCATCAGCCACCAGCAGCAGCTACAACAACACCCCCAGTCACAGCAGCAGATCCTTCGGCAGCAGCAAAAGTTGAACCAGTTGAATAACAACAACATCACGCTGGACGATGCAAAGAGCAAGTTGGTCCAGAACAACCTGAAGAATAGTGCCGGCAGCGGAAATGACCCCTACGGAAAACAGCAGCCAGAATTGATCAGCAATTGTGTGCCCCCGCTGGAGCGGGGAAAGGAAACGAGGAAGAGCCTCAACTCAGGGTGAGTCATCAAAATATGTTATCTATTCTTCTTTTTATTACGTTCGGGTGTGTCAAGGCGTGGGCTAGACCGAGGAAAAGTATAGGAACAAAGCGTAATTGATAATCTCAGTGCCTTTGTGTGAATAATCTTTTGATATATTTCTTAATTCAATACGGGTGTGTTAAAGCCCTTTCCCGTAGTCAGTGCAAGGGTCAGTTGCGTTTTTTGGTAAAGGGGTGATAGGTGGCAAAACTTCTTGAACAACAACGCCTATGCTTGAAGAAATCTCCGGTCCCGGTCCCTTCCTGTGAGACCGATTTTGGAGAAAGAAAAAAATGACCCGCATTATCTCTATCTTTGAATGAAACGAAAGCACTATCCCAACTAGCGTCTTCCTCTTGATTGGAAATCAATAGATTCCGGTCCGTGCGTTTTGTTGATAGGACTAAAACGAAACGATTCGAACGCATGAGAAAAGATCATTATTTGTTCAATTATCGCATCCCTTTGTGGGGCCACATTTTGATTCGTTTCTCATATCTTGACCTTTCCGGCCGGTCTCGAGGCCCACACAAGCAATATGAATCCGTAGCGAAACAAATTCCGAGAAACGGAATGGTCACTTTTGTATAAAGCAAACACGATTTCCTACTTTGAAGATTTCGTTTCACACAGGATGAAAACAGATTCCCATACTTTATGGAGTCCTGATGATGCCCTGCAGTGATAGTCATATCAGTTTTCCCCATCCTGTCTGCCTCTTCCTTCTGACGACGAAAAGTGTAAATTGATAGACGATTTGTATCGGTCGGTCAATGCCATTCTCCACCGCCCTGGATACAGGAGTGTGAGGGAACAACTTTATAGGAATTCCATGATGATCTTCTTTCCGGTTTCCCATCCCGAACCAACCCGATGGGAATTATCAATTCATGACCGTGTGGTGTGAAGGCAAAGGTAAAGGTGATTGTCGTTTCTCTGTGCCATTCCTATCCGCCGCCCGTTTGCTGCTGTAGCTCGGATATCGAAGGTGTAGGTGGTGGATATGTTTATTTTGGAAATCAGTGACGCTTTTGGGACCGCTCCGGGGCCACAGTTCTCGCCAGAGTTGTGTTGATATTTATGAGAGTTGTTTCGATTTCGGATGGTTGTTTGGGGATCGAAAAACGGGGAAGAGATTTTTTGTTATTCCGAGAAATCGATGTCCCAGGTGGGCTATGAGAAAGTTTTCACATTGCTTCTCGTTTGGGAGTGTATGAATTTTCGATGTGGCGGCGGAGAAAATTAAATAAATGATTTTTTCCCGTGATAAATATGATTTGAATAAGGCTATTCGGATGTAAATTTTTATTTGATTCAAACCAGACGGTTTGTAATATTTTTGGTTGTTTCGAAAGCGGATTACAACGGCGAACTACCGCTTCTGCTTTAAAGCTACGACCGCTCAATGAAGTCTTCAAGAATATTTGTAGTGATGGGGTTTGGATCTAATGTTCGTCATTACCTCTCTTTTAATAATTAAAAACGCACTGCACAGCATCCATCTTAACCTTGATCAGTCTGTTCAGATTCCCGGGAAAACCGTTCTAGTTTATCATTTAATAAATAAATAAATCATCTTCCATAGCTCTTCACGGTCAATAGTATCGTAAGTGGCCTTGAAATCGATGAATGGATGGCGTGTCGGAACTTGAAATTCGTGACACTTTTGGAAGATCTGTAGCAAATTAAAGATTGTGTGCGTTGTTGATTGCCCGTCCACAAAACCGGATTGAAAGCTTCCCGTAAATCTGATTACTAGACGGCGATAAAGGGTGTCCCACATCAAATTGCATCACGGAAAAAAACGCTGTAGAAAATTACCTGGTTTGCCGATCCTTTTCAAACTTTCAGACAATAAAATATAACCCATTCGTAAGCTTTTGGCATATTTATTTCATTCAACTTCAATACCATAACCGTACGCTGATTGCTTGCCAAATCATGCAACATCAAACTTGTCCAGGGCGGTGAAGAACAGTAGCCCCGGAAGCTGCCGGAAATCCGCCTTGACGTAAGTCTCATCATCCATGATGAGACAATGAGGCTTCGTCAGCATCTGGGTGTACATTTTCCGGGCCCGTGACTTTCCCACCGTATTTTGCCGATCGTTACGATTTGGAGCCTTCTGCACTTTGTACGTATGCAGTCCCTCCTGGTCCTTGGCTCTCTGAACGAAAGACTTGGACAGATTCAGCTTTTTGGCCACATCCCTGACCGAAGCATTGGGATTCTGCTTAAACGCTTTCACGACACGCTTGTGATCCTGATCACTAATAGAACACCCATTCTGACCGCATTTCTCCTTTCGATGCTCAGAGTTTCATAGTAACGTTTAATCACACGACTCACCGTTGACTGCACGATTCTGAGTTGTTTTCCGATGTCCCAATGAGTTGAAGATTCTCCAGGTGCTTGCGCAAAATCAATTCGCGACGTTGCTTTTCGGGTGACGCCATATTTTCCAACTTTTGAAAAACTGACAGCGATAAAAACTACGTCTACTCAAATTTTCAAGAGAAAATACGCAATGGGTAACTTCCTACAGCGTTTTTTCCGTGATGCAATTTGATGTGGGACACCCTTTAGACGACAAAAGATGATCTGGAAAATCACTTTGTAGGCTGCGTGGAGAATAGTGATCGCTTGGTAGTGTTCACATTCTAACTTGTAAGTCATTTTGAATATTAGGCCTCTTTCCACTCCTCCTAACTGTTCTTTATCCAAGATCCTGACAATAAGTCGGTGCAGACAAGTGGATCATTATCCGGAACTATTTTTAATAAGATCCGCTCAGATACCATGGATTTAAGATTAAATTAACCCATTAACGCCCAGTGATCTATTTATAGATCAGTTACACATGACAGATGACAGTAGTCAAGAAAGTTGTTCTCAAAAGTTTTGCATGTCTTCACCAATGTTGTTCTATGGACCAATCTCTTGAAAATTGTAAACAATTTAGATTGGAATTGACTCACTAGGTCAGTAGAAAACTTCGTTGTATCAACTTTTATAGATCAAAGTTCTCGTAAAGTGTGTTAGATAGGAAGATGTGGTCTACTGAATGTTGATTAGATTACAAAAGCCAACACTACAGTGTATTTTGACGTAGGATTACGTCTTTCGGCAACATATTAGGGGTGCAATTTCAAAAAACCAAAATTGACCGGCTTACGAAAAGTGGTTAGGTTTTGACCACATATCACTCTGTCAGTAGCGGATGGATTTTAATTCTAAACAATGCCAATCGATTAGAAATTTTGCTACAAATCTGCTAAATTGAACACATTATTAATTTTCAATAGGTCACTATTTAAAATTACACAAATGTCCAAATGTTGATTTGGTGATCAAAAGTAACACCGATTGCCTTCAAAAAGTGCTTTCCCTAACACAGATTTCAAAATCTAATTCCCTCCGGTCTCACTGAACGGTGCTTATTCAATCCCCATGTGTGGTGTTGTCCGGTTGGTCGTCAGCAATAGCAGCAGTGCTTTCGGCGCGTGGCGTTGAACATTGTACACAACGAAAGGCACGAGTAGCGAGCTGCAGATTTATCTGTAATCATACAGATTTTTTTTCAACATTTTGAAACAGATATCTGTATACACAGATTACAGATTTTTTGAAAATATACAGATTTTTCAAATAAGAGTAATAGGGGAAATTCAGGTAATGTCGGCCTAAGTGTCCCTAATTTGGGCCCAGACATAAATTCAGCAATCGACTAAATTTTCAATAACAACCCAAAATATTCATTAGTAACGTCCCAATAACGCGTTCATCTAGATAAAATTTATAAATAGCAGATTTTTAGCGATGGGCCCAACCTTAGATCCATAGGCCAACAATAGAGACATTTCCCCTATATTTTGTTTTCTTCTATATATACATCTTATTTCGTTTCTTCCTTTTGATCTACTTGAAATCCCTCTTTGAGTGTCTAAAACAAATCGTATTTTTCACTAAATAAAATATTATTGTATTATCTTCGATAATTTTGAATGGACTTCAGATGTTCAGATATTCTAATTTCTGATTTCTCCTTGATTATTATTAAATTAATCAAGGAACATGATGACCGATACAATGATTAATTATTTATTTATTTTTTTCCGAATCGACGAACAAGCCATTTTAGCAAACCCTGATTGATTACATTTTGTGACTCGAAGAGTCAACAAAATAGTTTGATATTTGAATGACGTCGTATTATAAAAAGTTAATAATGTATGCAATTCGACTAAACTTCCAGTAAAATGTTTGTGTTAAAACTTAATGAAGAATCGCGGAGTTGAAAAAAAATCAAATCACCAGATAACAAATTTTGTAATCTCTGACATAAAACAATCTACTTCTAGGGAACTGTGATTGTTAGTTCATTACGAAAATGTTCAGCCGGATGCAGATTTTCCTCTCAATACTGGATCTTAATTTTCTGTATTTTCAGATTGTTGGATTTCGAGATTGTTTAAATGCAGTCAACTCTCCACAACTCGATGTTCACTAGCTTGATATCGAATTATAGAACCATAGTAATTTTGTATGGGATTGTTATTCTATTACTCGATGGTCCCTTCAGTATCGAGTTGTTGAGAGTTCACTGTAGATACATGCCTTAGAAAACATCTTTTGTAATTTTTCAAGATTCTAAACTTTGAACTAACTCTTTCTGAACTATCACAATAATTAAAAACTTATACAGATTTTTGTCAGCCAGATACAAATTAAATAACCGATGAAAAATACTACAATGGACAGCCCTATGGGGTTGTACGTAATGGTGACGTAGGACTACGTGGTCTTATATAATAAATCTTATTTGTTAACTGCAGCATGAGCTTGTGTTTTGTGTGGGAATAGGAATTTGAGCGGGGTTCTCTCTGTTTATCCTTTTTAGTATGACGCGCTTGACCTACAAGGCCCACAACTATCACGAAGAGCTACTGATTCCGATCAATAGCGGTGCGGCTTCT